ATCAATAACAGAATTATCTTATTTTTTGCAGCAACAATTATTAACTACTATCTCTTAATTTCTTCTATTACCACATCCTTATTATATCTTTACATATATATGAAGAGTAACTTTTATTAGTAGGTAAAAGAAGACATATAAAATATAGAACAATCTAGTATATAGAACTCCTCCTGTCTTTAAATATAAAGGAATTCTCCTAATTTTAGGTTATATGTGGATTGTTGCACTTTAATTTTCTTTTTTAATATATAGTTACTATTCTGGATCTAGATCTTAGATCTAAATCTGTCAAATCGATTATATATATATATATATTTTTTTTATTCATTTAATTTCTTTTTTTCTTTAGGTTTGTATAAGCTTGCTAAATCGCATTTTTGGGCTTCATTCTCAGGTAAGATTGTGGTCTTTTTCTTTTTGTTTCTATTTGTTGTTCATTAATTTTTTTGTTTTTTCCTTTTTAGGTTCGTGTAGGCTTGCCAGATTGCAGAATCAGAAATTTTGGGCTTCGTTCTTGGGTAAGATTATGGTGTTTTTTGGTATTATTTGTTAAATTCTTTGTTCTCTCTTTAGGCTCTTGTAGGCTTGCTAGAATGTGAAATCAAGAGCTTTGAAGCTTTGTTCTCAGGTAAGATTATATTTTTGCTTGTTTTTTTTCTTGTTTTTTTTTTTTTTGTTGCTACTTGCTAAACTCTTCGTTTTTTTCTTTTTAGATCCTTGTAGGCTTGCTGAAATATGGAATCTAGAATTTTAAAGTTTCTTTTTTGGGTAGAATTATGTTTTTTCTTTTGTTTCTTTTTGTTGTCTTTTACTAACTTCTCTTTTTTAGATTTGTTAGGCTTGTTAAAATGTTAAATCAGAACTTTGAGGCTTCATTTTTGAGCAAGATTATGTTTTTTTTTATTTTTTGTTTTTTTTTTGTTATTTCTTTTTTGTTATCACTTGCTAACTTAGTTCATTTTAAGTTTGTGTAGGATTGCGAAATGTTGAATTAGAGCTTTGGGGCTTCATTCTCAGGTAAGATTATGTTTTCTTTTTTTTACTTTTGTTGTTTTTCTTTTGTCATTCACTAATTTCTTTGCTCATTAGTTTCATATAGATCTGTTAGAATGTTGAATCGATTTTGGTGCTTTGTTTTCAGGTAAGATTAGGTTTTTTCTTCTTGTTGTTTCTCTTTTGTTGTTATTCACTAATTTCATCGCACTTTTTCCTTTCTTAGGTTCATGTAGTACTTGCCAGAACATTGAATAAGGATTTTGAAGCTTCATTTTCAGGTAAGATTATGTTTTCTTTTTTTTTTTTGTTATTTCTCTTTTGTTGTTTTACTAATTTCTTTGCCCTTTCTCTTTTTTAGGTTCATGTAGGCTTGCCAGAACGTTGAATTGAGGACTTTGAAATTTCGTTCTCTAGTAAGATAATATATAT